CGCAGGGGTGAGTGGGGGCCACACCTGCACAATCTGGGGGCTGGACCCCACCCCTGGTTCTGTCACAGTTCTTGCTCACCGTGAGAGTACCCACCCAAATCACTGGGCAGAACCATTCTCTCATAGAAGGAGCCCTGAGCCAGAGGTTCCCCCTTGGGAGCCCCTGGGTGCTGCGGGGGGCTCAAGAAGTAAATCAGGAGCACAATGTTCCTTCAAGGAGCTTCAAATAACACTGAAAGCTGTTTCTCAAAAGTGGTTTTCTGGCACTAAATCCTCACTTTTCTGGTCTTTGAGAACTTAATTCACAGCTCAGCAAACCCAGGATCCATAATCCAACAACTTCATTTAAACCAAATGGCATTAATTACTCAAATAAATACCTATTATTGGTAATTCTGGAGTCCTGCTGTTGTTGAGTCCAAAAGAATCTGAAGAGCACTGGTGCCTCCTCGCAGCTGGGCAGCAGAGGGTGCTTCCCTGTGCCAGCTGGAGAGGCTGCGCCTTGCCTGGGCCACAGAAAAGGAATCAGATGGGGGTCTTTCGAATCTGGGCAGTGACCTGCCCTCTGGAGGGGCTCTCACCTCCCATGAGTTACAGGCTCCAGGCTGGAGAGAACAGCCTGCCCAGACAGACCACGTCCACGCACTGCATGGGCAGCAGGCAGCTGCTCTGCTACAGGGGCACAGCACCTCGGCCCTCAGCTGGGTGTGTCAGCTGAAATGGTAACCAAGAAATCACTGGTATATCATATTTGGTGACCAGGCAGCAGAGGGCTCACTGCTTGGCAAGGCCCTGCTCTGCAGAGCCCCAGAGCTGTGCTGGGCCTCACATTTGCACACACAGAGGAATGTGTGTGCAGGGGGGAATGACTGAGGGGGTCTCACTACTCCAACCACTTGCGCTGCCCCCCAGCAGGGTAGAGCCATGGATGACCCTTCACTGACCCTCACCCCAGCCTTGGCTTCTCTCTCTAGCCCCTGTACCCCACTTCAGGAGGTCATGGGCAGGGGAGCAGTGATGGGACAGGGGGGAGGAAGGAGAGGAGGTTGAAACACCCTCCTGCCTCTGGAGCCCAGGAGCTGACCCACCTCTGCTTCAGCACAAAGATCTTTGCAGACCTCAGAGATTTAAAAGTAAAAACAACTTTTATTTTAAAATATTGGAAAAATCGGGAAAAAGTTGTAAAATAATGAGAAAAATAAAAAATTGGAGTGTTCGCATATCACATACATGCTAACCTGCAGGGATAAATTGCATGGCTTAGCTCAAGCAAATATCCTTATGAGTAGATATTTTACAGTCCCCGTGGAGATGTTAAGCTAATGTTAAATTTATTAAAACCCTCCAGCTTTTAGCCTTTAGATTTTACGGAGCCGCTTATTAGGTTCTTCAAAGCAATTAGAAGACACACACACTATGTTTCAATTAGGCTGAAAAATAGTATTTGAGGTGAAGTTAAACTCATTTTTAAATTAAATGCAAAAATCCCCCTAATAATTAACTCCAGGGTAGAGAGGGGGAAGCTCTGGTCTCAAAGCACTCCCATAGTCAGCCATAGTCCATAGAAGGGTGCAGGATTCAGGTTTAACTCCAGTGCACACAGGATGATTCCTGTTGGGAATCAGCTGTTTGGTCCAGGAACCAGTCACCGCCGAGGGGATCTGTGCTCACCCAGTGCAGGACCTTGGCCACATCCAGACTCGCAGGCAGAAGCTCCATCCCTCAGCTCCTCCAGCAGCCCAGGAAGGAGGGATGCGTGAGCAGGAGCAGCCCCAGGTGCTGCCCGGGGCGGTCTCTGCCCACTGACTGCGGCGCCGTGTAGGATCCCTGCCGTCCTCACCTGCCCTCCCGGGACAGGTATCTCGGCTAAGACGGGATCAATCAGACCTCAGTGTCGGAGTGAGACTCAGAGGCCTCTGAAAGCAGAGCGAGGCCGCGGTGCACAGCACACCTCACCCGGGGTGCACAGCACACCTTACCCGGGGTACACAGCACACCTCACCCCGCAGGGCAGCGCGGCCGCGACCCCCGCCCCGGCCCTCCCGCAGCCGCCCTCCCGCCTGCCCAGCACCGGCTGCGGGCTGTCAGCTCGGCCGCAGCAGGAAGCCCCGGCAGCACCGGGGCTGCAGCCCGACAGGACCGTGCTCCAGTGCCACCCACACCGACAGGGCCGCACGGGCACTGCCCGTGCTGGTGCCGGTGCCAGCACCGCTGTCCTTGCCGCTGTCCTTACCGCTGTCGGTACCGCTGTCGGTACCGCTGCCCGCGCCGGTGCCGCCGCCGCCGGTGCCGGTACCACTAGAGGTCAGTGCCGGCTCGGAGCAACGGCCGAGCCCAGCCCCTCTCGGCAGAGCTGCCGCCCGCAGCCCCACCCGCACCCCGCACCCCCCATCCACACGTCCCCGCATCCTCACATCCCTGCATGCCACATCCCGCATCCCCACATCCTCTCATCCTGCATCCCCTCAGTCTCCACCAGTCTCGCTCCAGGGGACAAACCACGTCGCTGCAGCAGAACCCGGGGCCGAGGTGCACAGTGGGTCCCCTCATGTCTGCTGCCCACATTGCCACACTGCTGAACGCCGGGGTCACCGTGCGCAGGGGCTGTCAGCGCCCTCACTGAGGCACATGGCAGTGAGATGTCTCCCAGCTGGTGTACAATGGGCAGGGAGCTGACTGGCTCTGCCCAACAGCCTCCAGACCTCAGTCACGCATCTGGGCTGAAAGCAGGGACCCCGCAATTCCTCCTGAAATGGCATTCCTGCCGTTTTTGCCTCATTATGTTATCACAAACAACTTCAGATCTGTTCAAGAAGCAGCTCCCTTCTCTTGGAGCAAGGGAGGAGTGGGGAAGGGTCACATCGTAACTGCAGTGCAGGACATCATGGTGGCTGGAGGCATCAGCAAAGGGACTGCCACGTCCTGCTCAGAAAAGCTGCCAGTGAAACCAGTTCACTGTGGAACTGGTGATGGAATTATCCTGTGCCATGCTGGGTGCAGAGGATGCGTGGTGCTCTGCTGCCATCCGGCGTGGCAGGCTGCATCCTGGAGCGATGACCTCATTTACAGAGCAGCTCTCCATCCCTGTGTGCCTGACCTTGACTGTTTTATCCAGTGGAAAATCAATGAAAATTGTTCAAACCTCGTGAAACATGATGCACTCAGATATCCCCTCTCCCCTCCTCCCATCTGTAGCTGACTGCTACTCAAGTTAGCACACAAGTTAGGGGAAGACACAACGTGACATTAAAAACACCCACACCCCCTAAACATGGCACACTGCCCTGAGAGGGACAAGTGACACCTGGGCAAGCATTGACCTGATGGTCACAAATGGGTGAGAGGGGCTCCTAATGAGACAGCACTTCTCTGAACAAGAAAGGCTGCACTCTTCTTCACACAGGCATCTGCCACCTCTTAACAACTTGTTGTTGCAAGAAGAACTCATTTTTCAAAGAAAACAAGTTGAGAGGAGACCCACACAGGAGTTGGCATGACTGGGTGAGCACTGGGAAGCCCCAAAGCTCTCAGTTGTGCTGGCTGAAGCTGCAAGCAGATCTGTCTGAATAACTCATTACAAATCAGCAGCTTGTGTGTGCATGTGTAGACCCTCAGACCCCACTGCTCATCTTTTCTCCTGATTTAATGATTTCTCTCTTTGTGCAAACTAAACTCAATCTCTCAATGAGCCCTAACACCAAAGCCAGCCTTCCTCTGCTACTAGACACAGCAGGCCAGGCTGGACCACACTGCTGTGCTCCATATCAGACCTGGAGCATGTGCTTCACTGCAGGCACGGCACAGTCTATCTGCCATGGCACACCCTCAGTCACTCTGTGGAGCACAGCACTCACTCAGAGCCTGGAAGCACCAAGGGAAGGAAAGGATGTGGGATAGTAGAATCATACCACAGACCATACCCCGTGGGCTGCCCTACAACTCCTCCGTGTGGTGGTTGTGCGCTGGTATAAGCAGAATTGAAGTAGTTTTAATGTGAGGATGGCAGCACAACCCAGCTGAGCATCAGAGCAGGAACACTGCACTCCCTGTGGCAGATTTGGGTTTAAGGGAACGGGGATCAGCAGACTGTCAGCTGACGGGGAGGACGCTACCATTTCCCTGCACCGTCACTGCCGTGCGGATGGAACAGGCCACCGCATCCCAGCTCCCCCGCCAGAGCAGAGGCGCAGAGGATTGAGTCATCTTTGAATGTGGAGCCCCAGCTGGTCTGGGCACTGCAAACAAAAGGCGTGAAGAATCAGTTACCACATGAGTAAACAACGTTTTTGCGCTATCTCTATGACCGCAGCTTTGCTGGTTCAGCCCACTGGTTTCCTGGCTGCAGGTGGTACCGGCCCACATTTGACTCACATCCCCCCGAGTGGCGGTAACACCGCAGCCCCCCCAGGGACACACCGCCGCTGCCTCCCCCGCAGACCCCGAGCCCCCCGCTCTGCCCCCCTGGGGCTGCTCGGGGGGTCCCCGCGCCCGGGGCTGGGCGGGCGGCGGCCGCGGGACCCGGCGCGGCTTCAGCACTGCGGACAGCGGCGGGGAGCGGCGACCGCCGGGTCTCGGGGAGCGGGGACAAGAGTCCCCGGGGAGCGGGAGTGGAGACAGGAGGGTCCCCGGGAGAGCAGCCCAGCCTCACCAGAGGTCCCGGAGAGCAGAGTCCCGAGAGTCCCGGGGAGCGGGACCCAGCCCCACCGAAGGTCCTGAGAAGCGGGAGCGGGGCCCGAGGGTCCCGGGGAGCGGCGCCCCGTTCCCGATGCGGCTCCCCCTCCAGCGGCTCCCCCGGCCCGGGTCCGGGGCAGTGTCCCCGGCGCGGGGGTCTCTCCCCGGTCCCCCCCGCCGCCCGCCCCGGCGGAGCTCCCCAGTTCCGGTCACGTTGCCGCCTGTTTACGGGCGGCGGGGCCGGGCCGGGCGAGGCGGGGCCGCCGCAGGCAGCGCGGGCAGCGCGGGAGCCGCCGCGGCCCCGGCCCCGGCCCCGGCCCCGGCGCCCCATGACGCCCAGCGGGCGCCCCGCCGGGCCCCGCCGCTCCCCCCAGGTAAGGACCGGGCGCGGGGCCGGGGGCGCGGGGCCGGGCTGGGGGCGCGGGGCCGGGCTGCGGAGCCGGCGGGGTCCCCGGGCTGCGGCGGCGGCCCCGCAGAAGTTCCCGCAGCCCCGCCGTGCCGGTTCTAGAAGTTGCTTCTCCCGGTGCCCGCCCCGGCGGCGGTGTCGCTCCCCCGGCAGCGGGCTGTCCCCGCTGTCCCCCCGAGCCCCGCCGGGCTCTGCCGCCCCTGCGGGCTCAGCGCCGGCACCGGCAGCGCCGCTGCCAGACCGCGGCGGGCGGGCGGACCGCGGGAGCCCCGGGGAGGAGGATTGGCCCCGAGCGGCGGTGACGGGCCCGGTTCGGCTCCCGGCGCAGAGCTCGATCCATAGCGAATTCCCCCGGAGACGGGAGGAGAAAGCACGGCCTTGCCTTCAGCATCCGCAGCCCCCTGACGAGCCTCGCTGGGGCTGTTCCTCAGGCAGCTGTGCTCAGAGAATTGAGAGAAAACACAATAATTTATAATCAACGTCTGTATTGATTTTATCTGTAAATAGATACTGACAGATAATGAATAGCAAACAGCGCTCCGAGTGTAATTCTGCCTCTGCTGAGATCAGGGATGGTTTCCCACTGACTTTTCCAAGGCCGGGATTTCACCTCTGGTTTCTATTCCTGGCATTGCCACTGCCTCTGTGACCTTCTGCAAGTTTCTGAGCTTCCTGCTGTCTAATGTAGGGAATGATTTCCCTACATTAAAGATACACTGGCTTCATGGCATTGCTGCTAAGTTTTTCTTTGTATTCTTTGAGCTGTAAATACTAAGCACTACGTATTTCTAACATGTATCCGTGTTTATTCCTGTATATGTTTTAATGTGATGGAGAGGGGGTTGCTGGCAAGCACAGCAGGACAAATTATCGACCTGTTCCTGCAAACCTCATTTGTGCCCTCTGACTCCCAGCTACTTTGCCATTTATGGGGAATAATGATCAGACGGATAAAGGCCAGACCTTGCTGTGATGGTGTGTGTGCAGGGGTACATGGACATGCAACACTGCATCTGCCTTTCAGATGCATCATCGAGATGGAGGGTTTTTCTTGGTCAAAGTTTTGGGATTCTGATTTGCATTGATCAACAGACTTCGGTAGAGTTTTGCCCTGGAAGCAAATTCTCAACCAAAGAAAATCAACCTGGGCAAAGGAAATCAGCTCTTGCAACTGATTTAGTCATTGTATCTACTTCAAGAGGCTGCTTCACTCACTTTGGTTTGTGAAATAAGAATTTGATAAATTGGGATGAAATTGCAAATCTCGCTGAGGTTTTCCAACAGTGCTTTGAAACAACCAGCTAGATCAGGACTCCCAATGTGCTTGTCCCAAAGGTTGTGGTTGCATGGTGAAAGGATAAGGAGTGGGGGGAAAATGTGGTTTAGAGGCAGGGGCAGGCCCATAGGAAGGCTCAGCAGTCAAGACTGTGCCCCCATGGTCACCCCGTGTGGGGAATGCAGGGGGCTGAGCCCAGCACTGGCTCAGCAGTCCTGTGCTCAGTCTTAGATGGTCAGCAGGGGAACCCTGTTACTGGAAAGCTCTCAGTGATGGATCAAAGCCCCCTGGATGTCTAGTCTCCAAAACTGGAGAGAGCTGTTCATCCAGAGCTGAGCAGGGGCCAGCTCAGGCTGTAGGTGTCAACTTTGAATAGGGGCAGACCCCACCTCTTAACTGATTGCTGCCTCCTTTCCTTCTGTGTGTATGCGTGTACCACTCTCAGAAGCACAAGGGCACAGAGTATCCTTCAAGTTAAAGAGGACTATCACTTACCCTTGGCTTTTATTATGAATGATGTTGTTTTCTGGAGTTGTAACCTCATATATAACTCCTCAAAGCCACAGAGTACACGGTCACTTTGAGAGCTTCCACCACCAGTTGCCTTGGCAAGTTAGAACTAGTCTGGAAAAGAGAAGTAAGCAGCAAGGCAGGGATCAGAGCAGGGGCATCCAACCTCATCCCTACCTGCTGCAGTACAACAATCCTTTTGGGAGCCAAACTCATCCAGCTGGGCGGGGGGAGCTGGTGGGAGGGACAGCTCTAGTCACTAGTGCTTCGGGTCTCACCTCTGTGGCACAGGGTGAAGGTTCCTGCCTTGGTTCACTGCATAGACTCATGGTCATCACCCCTGAGGGTGCTCTGAAGCCCTCAGCATGGGGAGCTTTGGCATTACTAGATGGGAGCTGCGCTGGCCCAGTGAGCGCTAAATCAGCCAACAGCAGCTAATCCTTATTAACTCCCAACACTGCCCAAGGATCGTGCTGTGTGAAATGACTGAAGGCATGCATCAAACCAAAGGCTCAGGATGCTGCTGCAATGCCCACTTGACTTCAGAAGCCATGGAGGGAAGGTACCAGCTGTTGAGAGTCTGATTCTGAAACCCTTTGGGATAACTTGCCTTGGTGAGGCAAGTGCTTATCCACTGCCCTGTTAACGTCAGGGACACTCCAACGCCTCACTGATGCTCCCAAAACCTCAGGATGAGATTGCAGCTTCGTTAACAGCTCTGGCTCTTGCATCAACACCTGTGAGGCAGAGCTGTGTGAGCTGCAGAGGGGACAGCACAGTCCTCCTGTCACCCAGGGGGCTGCAAGTGGTGAACAGCAGGTCCCCAGAGCCTCAGGAGAGCTCTTCCCATCTCTGCTTTTGGGCAGCAGCATGACTGTTTCCAGCACTGTCCCCATTTCCAATGAAGGCAGCTCCTGCCCTGCCTGTCTCTGTGTCTTGCCCTGTCTGCCCCTGTGTCCCGCCCCTGCCTCCCTTAGTGCTGGTGGGAGGTTCATGGCTAGACAAAGCAAGGTGCTCTCTCCTCAACATGAGACACCAGATGTTCCTGCCACAGACTGAGAGCTGTTTCTCAAGAGCAACAGTGAAAGTCATGTCAGACAGGCAAAGCTGATTCAAACCACTAAAGATTTCCCACAGCAATTTTGGAGACAGACTTCTTTTGATCCCATACACAGGTAAATTATGAGGACTCTTCAACTTCCAAGTCAGAGATGATAAATAGATCTCAATTTGTTTTCTTCAAAAACAATTTTTTTCTTCCTTTAGAGCTTGATATTTATCAACTACTTATTTTTAAAGGAAAACATTTTCATTGGTTAAAAAAAAGAGTAATTTCCTGCTTAGAGGGAGAAGGGAAAGTTCAATGGAAAATTTGCAGCCAATTCTACTGAAGACATTTCAACTAAACAGAACAAAGTGCTTGAAAATAGCACTATGTGTCCCCCGGGCTTCGGCCAACCTACTTTCTGATGTTTCTCGAGATGAGGTACCACAACTCCCACCAAGAAGCTGCTCCAGAGCCCAGCCCATCGCAGCCAGGGCTGGCAGGAGGGTGTATCCGTGGTGTGGTTTGCAGCCCTGGGCTCCTGCAGATGCCAGTTAACTCTCATAATTTTTGCCCCAGCACCAGGACATACAGCCCTCCAAGGGGCCAGGCCAGCCCCAGCCCTTGGTGCAGGTGGGTCTGACCCCTCTGGCAGGGACAACCCCAGCAGAACACAATTTGGATCATTTTTACTCCTATACCTGCCAATTGGGTGCTGCAGCTGCCTCCAACCACCCCACACCCCCCAACTCATCAAATACAGGAACACGGAGAAAACCTACAGAGCCTTTGGCAGGAACAAAGCTTTGACCTTGGGTCACTGCCAGGATTGCTTACTGTGGGATTGAGCTTAAATGCAGTTTGATTTGATTTTGGTTGCAGGAATGATCTCAAAATGCCCTATGTCACCATGCCGGGTGTGCTGGAACTGTGAGCCGAGTGCTCACTTGGTTCAGGAGTTTCTGTAGAAAGACAACTGGAGTCAGATGTGGATGAAGGAGGGAATGGAACCAGCTTCCCAGTGACAGGATGGTGCACACTGTCCCTCAGGCTTGTGGCACAAGCTCCCCACAGAATCATTTAGGTTGGAAAAACTTCTCAGGTCTTCCGAGTCCAGCCACTCACCCAGCACTGCCAGGTTACCTTACTTTGCTGCAGCTTCCCTCCTTCCTGGGCTGGGTGTGGGGAGCAAGGACAGATTCCACACACCACTAAATGTTATTTCCCAGGATTAAGGGTTCTTTGGGGGGTTATTTTTATCTCTCTGTGCAGCAGCACAGGTGGGTGGCTCATGCAGCTGCTTTGCCGAAGCCATTGGTGACACGTGGTGCTGGACCCCCAGCCCAGCTCAGACATCAGCAGCTCTTGTCTGCCAGGCAAATTACCAGGGAAGACGTTTCTTCTCCTGGAAGACAACATGACTCCTCTCGCCACACAGCACTGATCAGGTTAGACGGAGCATGTTGTATTTTTCATGTGCTGGATCCTTGCTGCAGTTGCTGCTGCCTAATGTGTGGCATGTCAAGTAAGAGCCAAACTCATCTCTGGTGCAACTCCCACCTGGGGATGATGGGGAGCAATCCTGTCCCAGATGCATCCTGCTCCATGATAAAATATTCCCTGGGCCAAATTCAGAACAGAAATGGCTGCTGCAATGCCAGGGTCCATGCAACAGCATTTTCTGCCCATGCAGTCTCTGAGCAGGCAGGACGGGACCTGGCCGCAGGCACGGGGTGATGAGAGGGCTGGGGCCATTCCCTGGGGATTGGCTAAGCAGGGCTGCTTCACCCACAGCCACATCCCTGTGGAAAGGGTAGAGGAGAGCAGGCACCACCCTGCACCCACAGGCTCTGGCCCTCACAAGGGCTCTGGGGCTCACAAGCCCTGTGTGCTGCTGCACGTTCCATCACCAGCCGTCTCCACTCCCCACAGGCCTGGACCGTGAATTTGGTTACGATGGAGACAGTGTCCCTGGAGCACCAGATCCAGAGCGTGCAGCGGCACATCGCTTTCCTAAAGAAGGAGCAGATGGAGCTGCTTCATGACCTGCACCTGGAGATCCTCCGCTTGCAGAAGCACTGCTCAGGTGAGCGTTGGGATGGCCACAGTGTGTGGGAGCTGCCTGCTCACAGAGCACCTTGGGCAGGAAAGCTCCTGCTGGCACCCCAGGGTGCTCACACAGGCACTGGGCAGGATGCAGGGAAGGCAAGCACCAAACTGCAGCCTGGGGCTCGGGGCTCTGCCTGGCCGTGGCTGTGGGGTGCACAGCTGCCGGCCCCCTACCCACGGCCCCACTGCAGCAGTGTCACTGTCCCCTCTAGCCATCCCCACAGGAGTGACAGCTGCCCGGCCTCCTGCCACCACTCAAACTCATTCCAGCTTGTGCCACTGCTCTCATCAATAATTCAGCCGTAGTTAATTACGCCTTGTCTTCCAGTCTCTCATCCTCACGGATTCCTGGGAAACAAAGACATGTCTGCACTGATAAAACTGGCTATTTTCCCCACCCTTTCTGAGCTTTTGCTGTTCTGTTTCATTGTTTCAATGGCTTCATCTATGGCCTCTCCAGACAAGCAAGACAGTGGGGTTTTCCTGCCTAAATCAGGCTGAGGGGTCTGTCCCCAGGGGATGAAATGAGCCAGCTGCACAATTGGTTATGAGTGATCTCCCCTTCCCAGTGTGACCCATGGACAGCCCTGTCTGACTGGAGAGGTCCTGTCCTACAGGTGAGGTGTGTGGTTCTGCAGTGCCTGTTCTGCCAAGAGTGATGGGGCAACCCCTGGGTAGTTTTAAGGTGACTTTGCTGACATTTGAGTGCCATTATCTAGGGGGGCTGTTTGCAGGAGAAGAGTGGAGGCAGTCAGTCAGTTCTTCCTCACTGGGGCCCTGTGGAGCTGTGTCTGCTGCTCTGGCACTGTTGTTTCTGACTTTTTCACTCTTCCCTTGGTCTCTCCAAGGCATCCCTGTGGGAAGGGCTCTCCCTCCCACAGAGCTCGTTCTAATCTGCCCCTCGGGGGTTGTGGGACAGTACTGGGGCAGGTCCCTACCAGCCCCCATGGCTCCAGCACAGAAGCTTAGACCCCGGGCTCTATGTGTGTCATCCCTACACTTGCTCAGCAGGGCGGTGTCTTTGGAAATAGGCAACTGCTTTGGTTTTCATTTGGAATATATCTGAGATTCCAAACTTATTATTTTAGCTTCAGAAAAATAGCACAATGGCCATTGATTCCCACTGGGGCAGTCAGGAGCACTGAATGCTTTCCAGAAACTGCATTATGTTCTCAGGTAGTTCTGCCTTCTCACTACAGATTTGTTTTCCAAGACAGACAGGCAGAGCAGCCTGAGCCAAGTGTTCCATTTCAGGAGGATGGCAGTGATGAGGATTAGAGTCAACATGAAAGCAGATTAAAAGAAAAATGTAGGGCAAAGATTAACCATTTGAACTCATTTTCAGGGGGAAAAAAAGCCCTCAAACAGCTGAATGCTGCTGCTGCCCCCCTCCTCCTCTGCTCAGGGCTGTTGGTGGTTGGGTGGGCTGTGATAATTAATTCAAAAGGGATTGTCTGCAAGAGTGTGCAGAGTAAAGTGAACTCCAGAAGGTCCCTGAGCTGCCCTTTGTGAGCTGGTATTGTAGCCCAGGACTAAGCAGAAAGCAGGCAGCATGTCAGGGCTGAGCAGGCAGGAAGGGGCTGCAGCTGGTGGAATTTGGAAGGGATTTGGAAGCTCCACGTTGCACTGGAGCAGGGCAGCATCCTTCTGCAGGCACACTGTGCTGGGATGAGGCAGTCCCGCTTGCGTCACACGCAGAGGCAGCGATCGGCCTGGAGCAGTAAATTATGAAATGCTTTGGGTGGCAACTTACACTTTGATCTATTTTCAGTCCATTGCTCTGCTCTTTGCCCTGATTTAAAGCACTGAAAATGGTTTAGCAGCTCTCTTAGAAAAAGGAAAGGCATTGCCAGAGGAATGGAGCCTCCCGCTCTGCTGTGGGATAGGACCCAAGGATGCTGCCTTGACCACCAGGCTGCTTAATAACATAAATTGCCAGAATTGTCTATTTTTAGCTCAGCCTGATGGCCACGCTCCCACATGGGCCGGCAGAGGCAGCGCTGCAGCCTCAGTGATGTCCAGTGCCCCGCAGGGAGCAGAGGAAGACACAGGGAGTGCAGCATGGGTGGGATGCCCCTCCTCAGTCCTGTTCCATTTCTCTTCCAGAGCTCACCCATGACCTGGAAATGAAAGAGCTGGAGGCTCGCCAGCAAGGTAAGAGCACAGCTTTGGGCACAAGGTAAGGGGGAGCTTGTGTGGGGGCCACCTGAAAAGCCTGGGCCAGAGGGGACCCATTGGGGCTGCCCAGGGAGGGGACATGGACCTTGGCTGAGGGGACAGAGGGGCTGAGGGCAGGGCTGGGAAGGCAGCATGCAGTTCACAGGCTGCTGGTAGCCCAGTAAATGCTGGTGTCACCCAGGAACCCCACAGCTGGCAGTGGATGCTCTGTGAGCAGCCTGGTTCCTCTCCCTCCTCCATCCCAGGGACAAAGCTGAAACTCCTCCCTGGTGCTGCCTGGGCACAGTCCCTGGCACTAAGCCCCAGCCTGCACTGTGTCCTCAGCACCAGGGCTGCCTGTGCCAGGGTGGATGGGGGCTGCTTTCGCTGGGGCTGTTGGGGTCCTTGCCCTTGGCACCCTCACACAGTGCCATGGCTGGCTCCAGTGGGATTCTACTCTCCCAGCCCCTCCTGTGGAGCCAGGGGCCCCTCCCTGCACCAGTGGGCTCCCTGATGGTGAAGGGTCTGGCACCCAGCCCACCAGGTGCCATCAGGGTGTCATCAGCCACAACCTAGCGAGTCCCACCCATGGTCCCTGCCCATCCTTTAGCCTTTTAGAGCTGACAAAGAGCACAATCATTTTGCCACATTTATGGGGCAGTACCATGATTGCTTTTCTAATGCCATTCATGGAATAATTACTGCCTGCAACTGCCTCCCTGGGACCTCATTATAAAGCATTTTCCCTCTGCAGCAGCACTGAGGAGCTGAGGCTGTAAGGGACTGCCAATTGTATAGTAAAAAGCAGAGTATTGCAGAGGACGGGAGCAGGCCTGGGCAGGCCAGGGAGCGTGGGCGGGTGCCAGCCAGCGCCCTGCCAAGGGCTGGGTGTCGGAGTGGGTGGCTGGGGCTGCTGGGGGCAGGAGCCCAGCCCAGCCCTCCTGCTGCCTGCTGAGCTCAGCCCTTCCACCCCAGGTGGAAATCCCCCTGGCTGCCTGGCCATCCTGTGCCAGGATGGGGTTGCCCAGAGCCCAGTCTTCCCTCCTGGCATATCAGCTCCTTCTCTGCTGAGCACAGCCCAGCTCCTCTGTAATCTTGGATTAACATCTCCATCCTTGTTAACCAGGCTGTGGAGTCCCAGGGCTTGAGGCCAAAGTTGAGCTGATGGTTTCCCTGAACCACTTCCTTTTCTCTCCCAGTCCATGTATTCCCCCATGTCCTCTGCACACACTCAAAGTCACTTTTAGGGTGAAAACCTAGTTACTTAGGGAAATTTTAAAACTCTGGTTTTAAAGGTAAAGGTGGCAGGTTCCACGGCAATGACGTCCTCCACTGAAACTGCCTTTGCTGTCACCCCACATTTGGGTGTTACACGTGGCACTGTGCCAGCGGCACTGTGGCTCAGGGCTGACAGGGTTCCTGCGCCTGTGCTGGCAGCAAGCCCATGCTCGGGCAGCTCATGGGAAGTTTTGGAGCCCCAGCTCCAAGAAGAACCCGCACAGCCTCAGTGGCACCGGTGGGACATGCTGGTACCACGGAGTGGTCAGTAGCCACATCCACGTTGGGAGCACCCAGCAGGAGCAGTGCACTGAGCCACTGCTGCCTCTCCTGACCCCTCTCTGTGCTTTGACTCGCAGATGTCCTGGACCGAGAGCTGGAGGAGAAGTGCCGGGCGATGGAGGCCCAGCTGCAGGAGAAGGAGAAGGACAACCTGGAGCTGCGCAAGGAGCTGCAGCACAAGGAGACGCTGGTGGCTGCGCTGCGCTCCAGCCTCCGCAGCAAGGAGCGCCGGTTCCTGGAGGAGCTGAAGCGTCGGAGCCACCGCGTCACCATCCTCGACACGGAGCTGCAGAAGCAGACGGAGGCGGCCGCCTACCTGTCCCTGCAGCTGCACGCCACGGCCCAGCGCCTGCCGGGCCCCCGGGCGGGCGGGCGGCCGCCCCCCGAGCAGCCCCCGGCCGAGGGCAGGCCCCGGCGCCGCGGCCACAGAGCGCCCGCCCGGCGCCTGCCCGGGGACGGCGGCCGCCCCAGGGACCCGGTGCCGGAGGAGCACGATGCCATGCCCGACCCGGCCCTCTTCCTCTACACGTCGCGGCCCCGCGCCCCGCAGCGCCTGTCCCCGGAGCCCCCCGAGCCCCCGGCCCAGCCCCGCGGCCCGGCCGGCAACGCCCGGGGGCAGAGACCGCCCCGGCAGCCCCCGCAGGACCCGGCGGCCAGGGCCAGGTCGGCCAAGGGCGAGCCCGGAAAGAGGCAGGGGGCCGGTGCCCACGGTGCCCCCCGGGCCCAGGAATAGGCCCAGGAATAGGCCCAGGAATAGGGGACAGCGTGGCCCGACCGGCCGGGAAGGCCTGAGCCTGGCAGCACCGGGGCGGGCGCCGGCCAAGGTTCTTTTCCCCCATCCCCTAGGGGGGTAAGGGGCAGCAGAAAGCGGCCGCCCTGCATGCACCTCCCACCCACAGGACACCGGCGGGACTCCTCTGCCCGAAGGGTCTGAGCTGAGGGTGGCACCGGCAGAGCTGCGGGACAGGGGAGCACCCACCACCTGGGCTGTGGAGGGGACATGGTCCAGCACCTGTCCAGAGCTTCCAAGGAAAGAAGGAGAGAGAGAAAGAAAAAGAGAAAGAGAGAGAGAGAAGAAAGAAAGAAAAGAAAGAAAGAAAGAGAAAGAAAAAGAAAGAAGCAAGCAAGCATTTTTGTAATGAGGAGATCTTCCTGCTGCTGCTGCCCTCAGAGTGGGCACCAGATGTGTTTTCTCTAGCCAGGGGTGCCAGGAGGTGTGTGTGTAGCAGCAAGGGGCTGTGCAGCGTGTGGCTTGGCACAGTGGGATGAGCTCAGCCAGGCCTCCAACCCTGGGCATCACCGACACTGGGCTGGCTTGGAGAGGGCCCAGGACATCACCAGGAAGGTTCTCCAGGATGCAGGAAGCTGAACAACAGTCCATCCTGTGGGTGACAGAAGGATCCCCTTCCACAGGGACAGTGCTGCCGTGCCGGCCAGGTCCCATCCCTCACTCTCCTGTGCAGCAGTTTGGCTGTCTCCAAACCATGTCTCCACATGGATTTCCCCCACATTACATTCACACACAGGACTCAGACAAGGTGGCTGCACAAGAGCTGGAAGCACCCGTCCCACCAGTCCCCTGTGGCTCCTTGCCTGCCACAGCCGGGCTCCATGTGCTGCTGGAGCAGGGCTGTTCCCAGTGCCCCCTGCACAGGGCTCTCGGCACCAGCATTTCGGTTCTTAGTCACATCTAACAGCCAGGTCTGGGTTTGCCACCAAAGGCTGAGCAGCCCCCCAGTCCTCCCTCACCACCTCCCATCCCTCCCAGCAGAGCAGCCATAGGCAGCTGCCTTCACCCTGCTGGGGCAGCCTTGCCCGATCTCCAACCAAACTGTCAGCTTTACAATCCATTCCATGGGTGTTGTGAAACACCCCTAGGAGGGGAGGGCTCCGGTGGCCAGGCAGGGCAAAGGTCTCGCTGCTCAGGGCCTGTGCTGCTCAGGGCAATCCAAGGGGCAGGTTTCACCCCAGCACGTGGGCTGCCAGCCCTGGCTGGCCTGGCTGTGCTGGGGCAGTGACATCCAGCCGGGACCCGACCCCTGCCCACAGCCAGTGCCCTGCCTGGGTGGTGGGCAGCAGCCTCCCCCGGGACCCTCGCTGCCTCCACGGCTGGCACAGGCAGGAGGGAGCTGCAGGGGGCAATCAGACCCCATTTCCTTCCAGTTCGGTTTGAAACCTCTTCAAAGACATCACCATCATAGACTAGTGAGGCTTGGCCTGCCCCTGCTCAGCCACAGTGTGCCCATACAGTCAGAGCTGTCTATTTTTGTAGTTCAATATTTATATACTCTATTAAAATGCTTTTATGAGATTTGCAGCAGCAGTGCCCAGGCCAGCTCTTTGGTAAAAATGAACCCTGAAGCATGTGAGCTGCACTAGCAGGGCAGAAATTAGCAGCTTTTGTACATTTTCTTTGGCTGTGATGTGAATAGTCAGGCTTTGGAAGGCAAGACCCCTCTTGCTTCCCCAGGGCACCCCTGAGGGCTTGGACCCCGCACTCCCCAGCTGCTCCCATGGTCCCTAACACATCCCTGGGTTTGGGAAGAAGTGCAGCAAAGCCATGCTGGACCCTCCTTGCAGGACCCAGGCAGCAGTTGCCCTGGCTGAAGGCCGGCCAAGGTGTGCAGCTTCTGGGGCACAAAAGCTCTAGCAGGAAATTTTTGAAGCCCCTGACATGTCTGGAACTGCTGCCTCAGGAGCACAGAGCCCCCACCAGCCGCCACCGGCCCTCCCAGACTGTCACCCCTGCAGGAGGCTGCACAGAGGATGGCCAGGGCACTCACAGGCCCTGGCAGAGCACTGCATGCCCAGGCTGCCTGCCTGGGGCTGGCGGGGTGCAGGGCAGCAGGGGGGCACTGGTAACACCCTGCTGGGCTATGAGCGCTGCCTGCAGTTGCACAAGAGAGAACACCCCAGAGCCTGGCTCCTGGCAAGGCTGTGGGATGCTTCCCACCTGTTTCCCTTTGCACAGTGATCTAAGGCAGGCTCTGCCATGCCCCAGCTCTGGGGTGAGCCGGCTGTGCTGGGGGCCCTGCTGTCACCCACCCACAGGGGCAGCGAGAGGGGTTTGTCAGGCATTGCAGGAGCAGCCCCAGGGCTGCAGCGTCGTGGTTCCAGGGATGCCATTTCCATGAGGTGCCCTTGGCCTCTGGAAATTGCTGTTTCTCTCAGGTTCTGAGAGGTTCTGCTGAGGATTTGTCTCTCTGTTAAGGTGAAAGAGGGCAATGCGTGTCCCTGCGTGCTCAGCTGTTCCTGCAGCTGTGGTGTGCACAGCTGCTTCTCCCGTCCTTCCTAGACAATCCCGATAGACACAATATGATGCATTTTTATTACAAACTCCTTGATGAGATCATGGAGTTCATGACTGACCTGAGCATTGAAAAGGGGAGGGAGAGGTATGATCCTTCTTCTATGTAAATACCTTCCTAACAATCATCATCCATAGTGCCTAGTATGTAAATGAAGCAGCCCTGTCTGAGCTGCAGGATCCTTTCCTCTCCACCACTAATTAGCAGCTTGCTCAAGGAGTTGATCCCATTCCCAGTCCCCCAATGCCTCTTCCTCCTCCCAGTGCTCCCAGTGTGGGTGGGCAGCTGGGCAGGCCCGGAGGCCCAGAGTCCCAGAGCCCATGGCCGGGCAGGCAGAGCCACCTGCAGCAAGGGGAGTGTTTCCCAAGGGGATGGAGAGGGAGCACCCCAGTTCCCCCTTCATGCCAACGTAATGTGCTTGGAAATGAGTTGTCAGGGTGAGGCCTGTGCTTTTCCCTGGATGCATTTGCCTCAGAGCAGGAAGGATCAGCTCTTGCGTGCTGTACCTGCTTCAGTCACTGCTGCTTTTCTGGGGGAGAGGATAGCTCTAGAGATACTATATATACACTTATATATATATATATATATATACACACACACATACAGGCACTTGTTTTGAAGGGAATACACTGTATGATTGTAATAGAAATGATGTTGAGATAAATTATTTTAATCTTTGTATTTATATAAAATGATCAAAGAGATCATGAAAAAAAAAAAAAAGATCAAAAAGACACTGTTCCTATTTTTTGCTGAGAAGGCTGCTGGAGATACTGCAAGCCCAGGAGCTGCCAGAGCACAGGCAGGGCCTGCCCTCCCCTCCTTGTGCTGGGGGCTCTAACAGACCCACCCCCCACTCACATTGTAAGTGAGCCCTTAGCCTGTAAGCTGTAACAGGCATCTGTAGGTGCATTTAGTCTGTGCTCTGGACTCCTTGGGAATCTAAAGGGTGTGCACAGCTTTGACCTGCACCACACACCTGAGAGCACAGACCAAGGAGTGCAACCGCCAACACCTACGTGCTCTGTATGGAACAGGCAGTGTTTGATGTTGACTTGTAAAGCTTAATGATTAGACTGGAAATGGAAGCATAGCAATAACGCTCGGTTGTTAAACGTCTTGTGTGTAAACCATCACGTGCTGAGAGCCGTCTACTGACTAACAGCCGGGCTCCTCTCCTCTGCTCCCCCTTTTATTCTGCAGCTCTGCCAAGGCTCATGGATTTGATGTGTTGGGTTTGCTAACCTCTTTTCATTATTATTATTATTATTATTATTATTATTATTATTATTATTATTATTATTCCTATTCCTAATGCTGTCTGAGAAAGTGATGTTGCAAATGCACCTTGCAGCAGGTGCGGGGTGAGTGGTGGGTGGGTGAGATGTGCTCGCCACACTTGCTGCAGCAGAGGTGGTTCTGGCGAGGGGTGTGCACTCCCCTGGACTTATTTCAGCCCCGTACAGATTAGTCAGGAAGTTCTCTCTCTTGACCCTGTTAACTAAAAAGCCATATTTTCTGAATGTGTTTGCTGGGACTAATCTAAGTGCTTCCGGCTGCATCCTTCCTATCCCCGCTAGCCTCCTAACCTTCCCACTGCTGCATAGCTCTGTGCAGAGACTGTCTGCACTGGGGCCAGGCCCCACTGCTTGGGGAAGCTTTGCCCAAGGCAGAGCCCAAGGCTTTCTGTGAACCGCCTTATGGCAAGTGAAGCTGGGTTCAGGGCCCAGCTGATGGGTGCTCTGGAGGGGCTGAGGGGTGGTCTCTCCGGGTGCCCAGGAAAGCTGGTAGTGACACAGCATGAACTGGCTGGAGCTGGTGGTGTGCAGGGAGTGCTCTGCTCTGCACAGTGCATCTCCATGCACAAGTTCCCTAAAACGAGCTCCCAGAAGGCAGAGGAGCAGCAGCACTGCAGCTCTGGCCAGCACTTCCCAAGTTCTCCTCAAGCTCTCCCCACTGGGAAGGTAAATCAGCAGCATGACAAGGGACTTCCATTTACAGGGCTTAGGTGAACCTTTCTGAGTCCTTGTGTGCAGCCTTGTGAACTGGCTCCTGCTGCCTCAGTGAAGCCCCATGACCTGCCTTTTTCCTAGAACAGCAGCCCTCATGTCCCAGCAGCCGTGACGAGCCAGTCTCACTGTACTGATGCCGCAGCTGCCTCAGTGCACGCCTGTTCTTGTCACTCTCCTGCACTGTCAGTGCCTGGCTGCCAAGTCCTACAGGGAATGCAACAGGAGGAGAGAGAACTCCCTTATGCCCACGGATTGCCTCATGCTGTGGATAAGATCAGGAGTGCTAGTGTGCCAGGCTGGGTGAGCAGGAGGAGCCTGGGATCGATGAGCACAGCGGCCGCGGAGGAGCTGCCAGACACTGCGGCCTGTAAAAGCACAAAGATCAAAGCGCCGTGTCCCCTTGCTGTCAGAGG